AAATGAGCCTCCACTTGTGCTTGATAAAGTATTTATTGATAGAGGCGAGTTTCTTCATAAAATCCTTGCAAATGTCGGGCTAAAAAAATAAAATTCCATTAAAAAACGCTGCTCCTTGAGGAACAGCGTTTGAATTCTTTAAAGTTAAAAGCCATTTACACGGCAAAGCTTTCGCCACATCCACAGCTCCTACTAGCATTCGGATTGATAAAGTGAAATCCTTTACCATTAAGCCCATCGGTGAAATCAAGAACGGTGTCGCAGAGATACAAATAGCTTTTTAAATCGGTCACTAATTTAATACCTTGGTCTTCAAACACTTGGTCTTTAGGTTGCATTTCGTTATCAAAATCCAACTTGTACGACAAACCTGAACAGCCTCCACCAACAACACCTACACGTAAAAAATAATCTTCACTCAGATTGCTTTCAGCAATTAGTTGCAATACTTTTTCTCTTGCTTTTTCGCTAATAGTTATAGCTCCTACTTCTATCGACATAACGCTTATAATGAACTAAAAATAAATTAATGATGTGACTTTTCAGATGCTAATTCTGGCAAACCATTTTTTACCCTATAGTCGTTAATTGCAGATTTAATTGCATCTTCAGCCAATACCGAACAGTGAATTTTTACCGGAGGAAGATTCAATTCTTCTACGATATCCATGTTGTCAATAGCCACAGCTTCATCTATTGTTTTTCCTTTAAGCCATTCTGTAGCTAATGATGAAGAAGCAATAGCAGAGCCACATCCAAAGGTTTTGAACTTAGCATCTTTGATAATTCCTGTTTCTTCATCCACTTCAATTTGAAGACGCATAACATCTCCACACTCTGGAGCACCTACTAAACCGGTACCCACATTTTTGTTTGCTTTATCCAATGTACCTACGTTCTTCGGATTGCTATAATGATCAATTACTTTTTCTGAATATGCCATTTCTAAATGATTTGATGATTTGAAAATTTGATGATTTGAAAATGGTGGTATTCTTTAATTTTAACCGATTTGAAACCCATTTTCAAATTGTCAAATC